TCGCGAATGAGGTGCGCTGAGTGCTGGTTTCTTGAGGCGCATTTGAAGTTTACATATTTTTACTCAGTCCTTAAACTTTATGGTATTCACCTAGTAAATATTTTTTTTATGCTAAAATTTATTTGGTAACTCTTTGTTAGTTTAGAAAAAGGGTTGTTTTTAATGGATATCGCAGGTGCGATGAGGACAATCTCAACATTTCTATTAGAACTTCAAATTCTAAGCCATACATTTTGTCTGTTGCAATGGTCGATTGTGTACTGCCGTTCGGAAGACAAGCTTTTGATTTCTGGTCAGAGCAACATCCAATTTTTCGAATTTTTTTATTTTTCTCGGTAGAGATGTCTAGCGCTCGGGGTGTATTTTTGATATAAAAAAAAAGTTTCTCATAAAAAGAGAACAGCCGTTCATAGGTGGCTTAGTATAATATTTATTAATGGCCGAAAATTGCATTAGTGGTTACAATGCGCCCTCTATGAGGGGGGAGGGCTAAAGTACTTAATGAATCAAATGTATAGTTTTTGTTTTTCATCTTTCAATATAGTCTCCCTCAAGTGGAATATATTTTTTAAATCGTGAATGCAATGTCTTTACACCACTGAAAAAATATTCTTCAGATTTCCCCTCAAAATGGTTTTCTACGGCCGCTTGCATCTCACTGTCGTCTGATAATCTTCGTCCCCGTAACTTCTTTTTTAAATTTGAGAAAAAAGGAGAAAGTCACTGGGAGCCAGGTCCGAATAATCAATTTCTGTAGATCCAGTAATTTATAAGACGTCCATCGCAACCCCAGCGGTGGGAACGAGTGCGTTGTTTTGAAGAAACAGATCTTAAGGCGCCTCAAGGGCCTGACTCATCAAAGTAGCGTAATACTGTCCGTTCACTGTAGTTCGCTTTGGCAAGTAATCTATTAATAATCTTCACTCGCTATCCCAGAAAATGGTAGCCAAACGGTACGCATTTTTGACTTTTTGAACATTTTCTTCAGTTACGATCGCTGGGCGGGTGTCATCTACACAGGTCTCTATATGTGAAGGCGCAGAGTCCTGTAGCACCAATGACATTTTTTTTAAAATTTTCTTTCGTCATGCTTCCTATTTTACAATTAATTTTATCACAGAGCGGTTCCAGTTTCGATAGTGTTGATGCTTGCTCTAGGAACGAAACTTTAATGAATCTAATAAAAAGAAAGTTTTATTATTTTTATTAAAAATAAGTCCCGCAATTGGTATGATCAGCACCGAGAAGATGTGTCATCTCTTACTACCTTAGATCGCGAAAAAAGCTTGAAAGCTCTTCACCTTCTTTGTAATTGTAATTCATCAGTTCATATTCAAACTTTGTCCTTGTGGGATAAAGAAACGTCTTTTTATCATAGAACACCATATAGAAATTCGCTCGTTAACTTCGGTTGCAGCATTTTCAATGCAATTCAGCAGAGTAGACAAATATTCATAATGGTTTATAATAGATTTTGCCGAAAATACCTTCTTTGGTGTCGGAATTACCAAGCACGATGTCAATATGATGGCGAAAACAGGTCTGATAGATACTCATAGGAAAGTTTTTGGGTCACAAAAGACATTGCAGCATGATGTCCCCTTCACAGCTCCCTCTCTTGTACCCGCAACCCATGGTAACACAAGGAGTTGTTATCATATTCCCAGTATATTTGGCGAAGACGCAAGAACAGGAATTGGGTTTAGTACTACGACCCTACTCTATCATTCGATTTAAGATGATAACTCTAAGAAAGATACCTATATTGTCAGTACACGTGACGTGAAAAAATAAATAAATGTCATATTCGGATTACTCGAAGGAAGTTGGTATTTGTAAATCCTTTCGCTCACCGGATCACTGTAGCGTTTTTCAGGCAGAAGTGGTAGGCATGCACGGGACTGTTAACTGTCTCAGATCAGTGGTACTTTCGCAAATTCGTATCCAGATCTTCTCGGATAGCCAGGCCGCATTACAAGCCCTGGCGTCTCTAACAGTAAAATCTAAAACCGTTGAGAGCTGCCGCAAATCACTTAACATGACGGCTAAGCAGTTCTCTCTGAACCCAGTATAGGTCACAGTAACATACCGGGTAATGAGGTGGCGGGCAAGCTTGCAAGGACGGGCATTTCCCTTTCACTTTTGCCATCATGGAAGAGTCTGGGCATGCCGCTCTCCACTTGCAAGCTCAATATTACAGAGTAATTCATTAAGTAAGTATGCCAACTTAAGATGGAGCAGTCTCCACACATGTAATGTGGCCAGAATAAAACAGCAGAAAGTCACGTGACCTTCTCGAGCTAAAAAGGAAGGATATGTCTACAGTTACAAGTCTTCTTACAGGTCATATCTTATCAGGCAGGCACGCTGAGAGATTTGGTGTTCTAGGAAGAACATCGGAATCTTTAAGGCGCTTTCTTTGCAAATGTCCCGCACTTTGGAGGCAACCCTCCAAACTCTACGCACTGGTTCGATTAATGGGTGGGGCCTTCTGGGATCCTCCGTGGTATCACAATGGGCCCGTTTGGAGCCTAGGTGTACCGATACCTGGCAGCCACGTCAATTAACCAACCATATTCGGATTCAGTACATCCATATGGGGTGTTACGTGCATCCAAGAAATTCAAAAACGATTTAAAATTTTTAGGCTTACTTGTGATATACTTAGGGAGACAAAATTCTCTTTTATTCAGCATCCGGTCTCACTTTTTATACAGTTGTCTACTCCTAGGATTAACATTTTTTTTTGACGATATATAGGGGACGAGTTCTATCTTGATCTCATGATCATTATCTCATTACGCTTATATGACTTACGCCCGAATCCTTACGTCTGTTCGAAAGGTTTTCGAACTCATCTGACACTGTTACGAACGTACTAAATACCGTTAGTAAAGTTTATCTCTGTATCGAATCTGGTGGTCTCAAATACCATGCCATTAAAGTAGCACTACCGCAAACTGGTGTAGCATTACCGCCGATTGAAGGCAGGTGACTTACTTCTATACAGTCTGGAACCTCCGATATTTGGAATTAGTTTTGTAAAAGCTGTGTTCTTTAGAGAATTTCAAGTTTTTTCGAAGCTTAGTTGAAGACCAAGTATAATTCCGTAATACTCAATAGCTGGGTTCGGGTCGACCATCAAGCCGCCTACACTTATTTTTATGCCCCTTCACATTTTACCGGCACCACCACAAATAACCACGTTTTCACGAACAAAAGAGGCTGGGGAATCTTTCACCAATTTTTATGTAAAATTTAAAAAAAAATTTCTATGTGTAGGGTGGATGCCCTAAGCTTGAACTGAGGCTAAAGTAATATTTATTCCAAAAAACATAGGCAGAGTCAATCCTTTTAGTTCGAAGAACTTTTCGTCCATTAGTCTTATTTTTTTTCCTCTTAAATATCTTTGAAAGGCTCCTCGACAGCTATATACGCCTAAGTCTACACTCAGACAGCTCCCCAAGGAAGCAATCCGGTTACTCTGAGCGTTCGTTCGTCGATACAGCACTGCATAATTTACTCGAGTTCATCGAAAACGGCTTGCCTTGAAGGAGTACATGCTTGGTATCTGCCTCGAGGACTAATTTGCCCGAAAGCGATAGGCAAATAACTACCAACTTTATGTGACCTGCTTCAAAAAGCTCTATACATAGTGAAGAACTGGTGCAAGGACAGCGGGTTGTATGTTAACTTACAAAAAACCAAAATGGTTTTATTTAGCAGGAGGTACAAACTGCTTCATCTTAAGCCACCATCCAAAAAAGGCGTGAAGATTACCATATCTACCAAAGTCAAATATCTCGGCATAATCTTAGATAGCAAACGCAATTGCCAGAAAGATCAAGGAAGGCACTTTATGCCTGCGAATCGGCGATAGAAAGAGATAGGTTATAAAGCCGAATATCATGTACTCGGTTTATATATCGATAGTTAGACCAATCCTACTCTGCAGCGTCACCGTATGGTAGCCGGCACTTGAGAATATTACTTTTAGGAGAAAACTAGAGAGAAGTCAACCGGGACAACGCCATCAACTACTCAAAAGCACTGCCAACTCTTCTCAACTTCCTTCCTCTGGACCTGGACGGGAAATTACACGATAGATGCAACAAACAAAAATTAATTGAAAAAAGAAACGCTCTCGACTAAAGAACAATAGAACTCTTCGTTGCCGACTCAAAGCTCAATGAAAAAGTGGGATGTGTAATCCATTCGCTATTAACAAACATGAGTATGAGTTTGCCAGACCACAAGAGCATCTTCTAAACAGAACTCTTTGTAATCAGGAAAGCTTCCAAGGAGTTGCTTAAATCTACGGCAGGACAATCGGTTATGATACATTCCGACAGTCAATCTGTTAAGAGACTTCTACAATGTAACAGTACAACTACTAAATGCAACACTGCCATGATTTGTGGACTCGAATGCCGTAAAAACCCAGGTAATTACATGCGGGTGCCAATGAAGCGAACACCTGATGAGTGAATGAGATCACGTGCAACGTGACTAAGGTATCATATCCTTCAAGACCGATTATTCACTAACATAACGACGAGCACTCTAAAAAGCTTTTCCGCAACTGCAGAGTGTCATTGTCCAGCCTAAACATTTGCGCGATACAAGTCCCTCCGGAGACTCTTCTTTGGCTTCCCCTCTAAGCTAGTTTCATCGAAAAAGGTTCAAAAATTTAATAATATGAAGACAGGAGCATCCCAGCAGTATCAGAGATGTCATGGTCACTGACCAAAAGCCGAATTAACTCAACTTAACTCCGGTTTTATTACTTTAAAAATACCACTTCATGTTATGATCCACAGTCCGAGGACAACAAATATTACATAAGAATAACATAAGCTTACAGACCATAAAAGAAACAACAACATGGCAACATCACAAAATTTATGTATCATGGAGCCCTCTACATCTTCCAATAAGTCAGAAAATATCCCAAATTATTTTTTTGATTTTTTCTCAGATTTGGAATGACAATTTTTGTCAGTGTCGTTTTTTTCTATTTTGTTTTTTTTTTTCATTTAAATCAAAATTTCATACCGGATAAAACAAATAGAGCCGAAGATAATTTTTCTTGAATCAAATTTCCGTCCAATCTTTGGTCATTTTTGGAAAACGTGAAATTTTCTTGTTCCAAACACATTTCGCAACAAAGCTTTCAACATTAATTCCATCAGGAAAACAGCTGTCCGCAGCGCAAGTCGACTGCGGTATGTACCATCCACCATCTCGAATAGCTTGGCGCGCATCAATTTGCTAAAGAGCCGAATGCCTTTGCCGAATACCAGTGAGCGCCAGCAGGAGTATATGGCGCATCGGGTGCGTGTGCAAAATGCCAAAAGTGTAGTGAACAGTCAGCCGCCGAGTCGGGCGGTAAGCAAACCGCGTCGCGAAATGTCCTTCACCGAGATGATGAACTCCGTGCGCACAGCCATACAGCGAAGCAGCAATTCGCGTACCTTTACAAATAAACCCGCTTCGGTAACGTCAACAGCGACGTCGGTCACCACATCTACCGTAGCAGCAACTTCCTCGCGTACCTCACCTCCTACGCGTGGCAGCAAAACATCACGCATCAAGTCAAGCAACAGCGACGCTTTCGACGGTTATGAACGGGACAAATCCGCAATGCTGCTCTACGACTGCAAGTCTTGTGGTGCTTTCGGCTGCTGTTGCTGCTGTGGTGGTGCCGGCGATGGCCGACATTGCATGTCCTCCTGTGTCGATATGCATCAGAAGTTTTCACAGCATTCGGGCGGCGATATAAGCGCATCGGATAGCCTACGGCCCATGGGCAATCACATGCCGATTTATCAGCGTTCTAGCTATTTTAGTGGCAATACTAGTACGTCCGCTGTTGTACATAGCACCCAAAGCTCAGATGCACAGCTTCGAAACTTACAGGAGAAAATCAAGAAATCATCGCAAGCGCCGACAGCCGAACAGCGTGCCATCTATCAGCATGCACGTTTGGCGATGCCTCTACGATCTTTCTGGCATCGCATCACACGCAAGGAATGGAACGACGACACGCGTATACCCCCAAAACCTCGTAGACCTTCTCACGTCCTGCTGAGAAACTCACGCAAACGTTGCGTCCAACGCAAATCCTGCAGCGAGGGGTCCCATAGCAGTGAATTAATTAATCACCCTTCGGCGCTCGCTTGTCAGGACGAATGCAAGAACAGCACTATACCGTTGCATGTCTTGAAGCGTTACCAGGACATAACCGTGACAAACGATGAATCAATGTTACGTCGTTTGTTACGACCGCGCGTCTTTTTCGATCTCGAAGTGAAAGGTATACGTCCTTTGGGTCGCATAGTTATACAACTTTTTACGGAGGCCTGTCCCGAAGTGGTTCTTGAGTTTGTTCGTATGTGCACAACCGAGAAGGGCGAACGAATGAGCTTTACGCGGCTCTTTCCACCAATGTGGTTGGAAGGCGAGCTGGCATTAACCGACAATAAGACACTAACGGCGCACAACATCGAACATGACACGAACGTGTTGGATCACGGCTGCGGTGCAGGTGTGTTGTCATTCCCAAGTCGTTATGTGCGTGGCAGTAAACGACGATTTCTGAGCTTCTCCATCAGTTTTAAGCCGTTAAAAGTGCTCAACGGCAAGCGTATCGCCTTTGGGCGCGTGAAACGTGGTTTTTGGATACTTGATGCCGTGCAGGATTATGGCACGAATAGTGGGAAGCCACAGCGTGAAATAATCGTGACTGGCTGTGGTATCTGCAAGTGATAAAGAGAGCCAGAAGATTGATGTATTTCAATATGCATTCGTAAAAATCATAAATTTCAAGAAGTCTTCCTTATGAATTTAACTTCAAATTGGAACAGAATTTAATGAAAGACTAAATTGTAATTCAATTTGCAAATAAGATTTGTAAACTAAGTAGATTGTAAAAAATATGGCTTTTTTTAAGAGGAAAATTACCACTAAAATTAAATTAAATAGCCAAGTGGTTAGCATTGTATATTGTCATTCGGAAGGCTCGGATTCACCAATCCAAAAGTTATAGAAAAATAATTTCACTAAAAAGCTAAATAAAATTTTCAAATTGCGGTCACCCCTTGGCAGAAAATGCCAACCACCACCTGCCATTCGCAGGCAGCTTAGTACAAAATAAAACAAAATAAAATAAAATAAAATAAAATAAAATAAAATAAAATAAAATAAAATAAAATAAAATAAAATAAAATAAAATAAAATAAAATAAAATAAAATAAAATAAAATAAAATAAAATAAAATAAAATAAAATAAAATTTTATTGAATATTTTATTTGAATTAATTAGTTAAATTTAATTTAACAAAATAAAACTAAATAAGTTTTAATTTAATTCAGTTAATGATAAAAGAAAAAAGATTTAAATTTTAATAAATATAATGAAATGAAATAAAGAAGAATTTAATTTAGTTAGACAAGAATATAAATAAAATAAAGCAAATTAAGTAATATAATATTAAATAATAGGAGAATACAAATAAAAAATAAAAACAACTAAAAAATTAATAGATATGGAGAGAAAAGAAAAGTTTTTATAAGGAGCGGTGATATGAAAAAACTTCCTAACAAGTAACCAGAGATATTGAATTTCTAAATTAACTTTGAAGAGTTGGAACTTTAAAGTGCTATTTATTTCATATTATGTATTTTGATTTAAGCAACCTAGGTGTCTTAATGGCATTTCCCTATAAAACTCGAAAACAAAAGATAACTTTTTCATATTTTCGCAAGGTTTAGCTTTCAGCTGTAGGGACTGAAAGTGGGTTGTCGAAACAGAAAACCTTGAATGAAACGTTCATAATATTCATTTTTACAAAGAAGTAGTTTTGACAGCTGAATTAATTTAAAGGTTTTTAATGACGGACCGGGGTTGGCTACTCAAACTCAGTATCCAATAACAATTTGCGCATATTTATCTAAACACATACATACCAAAATTCAGCAATATCAAAGTTACGAAAGTGTTTTTCATCAAACGCTATACTAACTCACACAGCCGAATTCTCTCGAGCATAACCTGCTTTCAAACCATGAAATTTTGTTATAATAAAATTTACATCAATTAACAATTAACTTAACCAAAAATTTTAATGGAGAATTTATCACGGCTGCGACAGACATAAAAGCTGAAGAAATAAGAGCTCGCTGAAACCAAAAACCTTTAATCCCATTTACGCTAACGACGACTAGGCCAATTTGTTGTAAATGTTGTCGTTGGATTTTGCCATCAAACTGGCCATTTGTTTTGAACGCTCATTGACTTTTACTATCTCATGTGTCCTGAACTGTGATGACGCCGCCTCACTCAAACTTTCGTACGCGCGCGAAGTTGTAGTGAAATTGGTGAAGTAAAGCCTTTGTTTGCTCTGCACTTGGCAGCCACTTATTGGTTTCCTTTACCACCCATTAAACTGTCTATCCGCACGCCTGTCCGTACGTGGTTGTATACTGCCTACCTGTCATTAGTGGCACAAACAATTAACTGCAAATGCCAACTAACTAACCAACCAACCAAGCAATAGCTAGTCCTAGCGAGGCAATCAAGTGCCAGACACTTCAAGTGAGACGAAGAAAATGCGCTTTGGATCACCTGCTGTGTGTTCTAATTTGTTGTCTTTGAAAAGGCGAACATTTTGTTTTGCTGTTTTTGCGTTGGAATTTCTATTAACCATAATGCTTTTATGTATACTCTCTGCTCTCAAAATGGGCTCGCATTTGTTTCTTTGTTTTTCCAACCAATTTTTAGTGCCGAAAAAATTTTAAATGTAACACTTCAACGCACTCACAAAGACTCCAACTGAATAGCACCCCATCATTTGAAGCACTCGTCTGCAAATTTACCTTTTATGACTTAACTGTTGACTTAATAAACTATTGAATTGCCACAAGCGCTTAGAGTATTAACTATTAAGTAGCTGAATACGGTTTCATCAAAACATCACTCGACCACTCAAGCTGAAACCAGGACAACTTGAGTCACTTCGAAACTCAAATTGTGTTTACATAAATATATATATATAAATATAAATGGCTTGTTATGCTTGCTTATGGGCAGTATGATTGAATATATTTGTATGAATATTTGAGGCATTTTAGAACATCAAACGGAGCCGGCACGTGGCTATGCAATATGCAAAACGTCGGCGACCAAAAGCAACAGTAAATATTTATGTGCTCGAGACATTTACTTGGTAGTGGTGATGGTCGCCACGTGTGCAGAGCAGTTCGTCAATTTGTTTTTGTCTTGGCGATTAAGTCTTTTAAAATCAAAACAAATATTTATGCATTACGACAATTGAACATTATTCTTACTCCTACCAACTCGTCGCGTTTAGGTAGAAATATTCCTGTTTGTTGGCTGAAGTATTTAATTTTAAAGGGAAAATAATGGTAGTAAAAAATAAAGTAAAATATATGTATGGCAACAAAAATAATTTAATTTTTTTTAAATCCATTTTTGTATATTTTTGGACTTTAAATAATCAATTGATAATAAATTCATTTCAGTTTTATAATTGGCTTAATACCGATTTTTAATTAAAATCATGTAAAAGATTAAAAAATATTATGTTAAGAACTTTGCTCATTTAAAAAAAAAAAAACAAAAAAGTATGTAAAATATGCTTAAAAACTTTGAATATATTTTTAAGGTCGTTTTTAAGTTATTGCTTTGATTTACACCATAATCAGTCATACTCAAAGCTACACTTCTGAAATATGCATCGAGCATGCTACTAAGCTATACCAAAAAAAGGCAAAAAAAAAATAATAATAACACATTAAATAATTATAATCAATCGGAGTGTTAATATTCGCTGAATGCAGTATCCACACATATCCAGTAGTAAAATCGACTATAAATTCTCAAAATAATCCACGTAATAATTTCTTAAAGTTCTCCTCCCCTTTTAAAAATTGTATCCAATAAAAGCTCTACGAACATACATATTTTCCAAGATATTTCATAAAATTTGAAGTAGTCAACAGATAATAAATCTGGCAAATATTAGGTGTAGTAAAAAGTAATCCATTATTTTTACATAAAATTGAATACTTTAATTTTTTCCTTTCATATTCAGCCATTCAGTTTTCGATTGCCTTTACATGACGGTCGGAATCGACAATGTCCATGACTTTATTGACATTTTCGATAATTGGCCTTCCACTGCGTGAAGCATCTTTTAATTCAAAATTATCGGTGTGAAACCGAAAATGTGCATGATTGTCTGCAAGAGTATGAGAACCATAAACGAAGTTCACATTTTCAGCCGCCTGGCTTGCGCTTTCGCCCTTATCGAAAAAAAAAAAACTGTAAAATGTAGCTTATTTTCTCTTTGCTAGTGACCATCTTTGACACACGCTCAAACCAAACTGAATTAAGCAATCTGTCTGAGAAGTTTTTTTTTAGTATGAAATGACATTTTTCTAAAGCCAGCTAGCCGATCCTGATTGAACTTATACGTCACGTGATGCAGATAAATAACGCCAAATATTGGAAAAATAATAGATTTTTTTTACTACACCAGTAGATGCTTTTATTCATATTTTCTAGGAATCTTAAAGTTCCACGTATAAAAATTTTCTCTAAAAAGACTTCAAGTAAAATGCTCTGGAGATGCTAAAAACACCCTTTCTATTGATATCTAGCAAATTAATATGTGCCTTATGTTATTTTATGTCGGCCACAATAGCTGCGTGGTTATCATTGCGTACTATTATTCGGGTAGCGTGGTTTGGTTTCCTAGTTCGACCAACATCAGAAATATTAAAAAATTTAAGAACGAAATGTTAAGCTCTTCAACTGCATTTTCGACACAAAATAAAAAGCTTCTCATAAAAACCATCAACCATTCAGATACGGTTTAGAATAAATGGCAGTAATGTGTTCAGCTCAACTCATAGTGAAAGAAAATTTCAAAAATGTAAGATTAAATGACTGTCGGCAATATGCAGATAATAGCAACAGAGAAGCAAGATTATTAAATTGGGCGCGGCTTCTTAATCTTCTGACGACTCTAAATGAAGAGCAGTAGCTAGTCTATTGGGACTACTTTTTGAGGATCATTCGAGAATTTGATGCCCTGTCAATAAACCTATAGCAACCCTAAATTATCTCTTGTTTAATGAAAGAAGCAGTTAGTTCTGTCTGCGGTCCGTACTCTCCTCTATCCTGTACTAGTGTCGGCAACATTTGAAGCCGCTGAATGGTCTGAGAAAGTCGATTTTGTTCGCTGCATATTCATCTTTATAACGGATTGGCTTTCCGACCATTCCTTACTGCTAAAAAATTCTAAAGCTTTTAGTTGTATATCAGTAAGCTCTGCTTACTTCAAGTCCTTCATTTAAATTTTTTTTGTGCAAGTTATATCCAATAAAATTATATATTTCATTTGAGTTTTGGTTTAATGTCCCTATTATACTAGTCTTCTGCATTCACTAGTTATGCCTTGGCGTGTATTAGAATTTTCATTATATTTCCATCATCTATGTATTTATCAGCAATTACTCACAGCTATTTGTCTCAGGTGGAGCATCACCTTAAATATCGATGAATTTATGTTTTGCTTACAAAGAGGAAAGGCAAAGATCATTTCAGATTTATAGTATATTATTGTCTCTTAACACATTCCACAGAGATTACAAAAGTCTGCCAATTATGTGTAGCAAGCGATTGCTCGAAGATTGAATAGTTAAATCAATTGCTTTACACACTATCTTTAAGCTCTTCATTGTGAGCAGCTGAAGCATTTACATTTAGACGACTCACAGTAGCGGAGACAAAATGTTCTCTTTCGGAGTGTCACATTATATTAGCCACATATACTTCACAGAAAAAAGTTTGCTAAAATTTATTTCTAAATTAGTGCAGCAGTGCAGTGAAATAAGGATTTTTTAGAAAGTACATAAGTACGTAAGGAGTATATCCGCAGAGCAATAGCGTCGTC